GTGTTGAGATCTAGCCTTTGGTTACTTTTCAGAAGATTCTCTTGACTTATGGAGGATGACTGGCCTATCAGTGATTTCTGTCTTAAGATGTTGTGGAGTTTTGTTTCCTAGAATCTTCTCGTCCCTACAGTTGTTTTCCTGAGCAAAAATGCAAGCCAAGCATTTACCTCATTATGTCTAATGATCACATCATCTGCACTGCTCAGGCTTTGCTACTCCACTGCCTGTTTGGCGTTGATATGCGAATTGGGAACTTAAACCTTAGATTCGCTTATTATAGAGCTCCTTTGAACGTAAATTATTTTGAATGATCTAACTGGGCTTCAAATAATCTCTGCTTGTCATGATCTCTGTACGTTCTGGTGTTGTTGAGATCAGTTAGAATTAATGAGCTCATCTTGTCTGGGTATTTACTGTTCTGGTAAAATAAGTTAGATGAAATTCAGCCACACTACCACTATCGAAGAGTTAGATTCTAGCAGAATTGAAGACTGAGGTGCTTAATAAATAAAAATACTGTAACCCCGATACTACATTTACAAGAAGATCCATAGACTATAACATTTGTTTGAATCTGTAGAAGCTACAGATTTATCTTTTAGATACAAAACTCAATAACCCTGAAATACAGCCTTACGTTTGTTATTTAACCTAATCTTTCATACCTTTGGTATTCGGTGTGCGGTTGTATAATTCATACTCGAATAAGTGCCATGTGAGGTGCGATATCTCGGTAATGCATATCTAGTGTACTAGATGTTGCACAATGTAGTTTGGAACTACTCTTACATAAAACCATTTTAACCATTGCGTTGTCGTTAACGGAAATTTAAGAATTTCACAGCAAATGGATAGGGGATCTATGTTTAAAGGCCTCACGTTGTAAATTCTCTTAGTAACAATAACTTTATGTTCCTAAACTTGGTCCAGAATGCACTCCAGATTCCAGGTGCAACCGAATGGATATGGATTTTTATGTCATAACGGAAAGGTGGGTTTAATTTCGCCCTTTTTCAGATAAGCGTGAACTCCTTTTTACTTTTCAGTATTTGCTAATACTTCACAACTGAAGGCATATTTAGCAGAGAAAATATTAACAGCTCAATTACAAGAAAGAGTTTGTCTGAACAATGTGAAGTTTTTGTGCCATACATTTTGAACAACTTGGCCACACTTATGTTTGTCAATGTACCTTAATTGAAAAGTAATAAAGGTCGACTAAACCGAAGTTCAAGCAAACATAAAGTGACGACTGTACTTAAAGAAGAAAGTAATTTAATATCGGATGGGAAAAATAAAAAATTGTCGCATTGTCTTGGGTCATAAAATGGCTCAATACTACTAGGGCTGATTCAAAGTTAAGACAAGTTGTTTCTGTATCCATGGACTTTCGAACAGTCAAGTAACATCATCTGGTCACGTATCATAAGGACTTTTATGAACCTAACGGCATTCAAAGTGATACCGCGCTTAACAATGTAGAAGGAAATACTAACTCACCGTCCCTTTTAGACGTACTTTTGAGTCTAAAGAAGGACGGAACCGAAAAGAGTTCAGTTGATACGAAGCCAATCACGACTGGTGAGCATCTAACTATGTCACATTATCTTTCCGCTCTGACATAAGCGAATCTATGAAGTATTGTGTATTCCTGTTTAAGATGACACAGGCATTCGGAGTTTGATAACAATTTTACCAGTAAATCCTTTATAATCAAAGTATGTCCAACCGGTCAAACCAGAAGAAAGAAATGAAGAGATTCTATGGTATATCTAAAAAGTTTTGGGTATGTTGAGGAACGCTTGGTCTTAGCTGGTTGATAGTTAAAATGGATGTATAACACGGCGTAACCATTCGTGATCTGATGCGTATGCGTGATCGAGCTCCTTCAGCAAGATGTGACAAATAAAACTGATGAGGTCAGTATCGGATGTTAAAGACCTTCGAAACTATTTATTTTCGATATTCATTTACCGCCACAAACCAAAACTACAGACAAGATGAATGACACCAGTCTTATGTGGACCAAAGACTACGGTGAATATATCAAGATAAAATAATTAAAAACATTGAGGTTAGATTTAGGAGATAATAAGATATTGTCACATAGAACGCATACATGGTGCGATTTCCACCAAAATGAGCACATTTGTACAAGGCACACCAAAAGGATCTTATAAAACCTATTCTCATTACATAGTGGATTGTCAATAAAACTAATTTGTTTTGTTTGCCGTTTACCGGAGCATAAAATTTTTTCAAGATAATTAGCATCAATTTTTTCAAACTATCTACTTCGAACTTAGTTTTGTCACCCACACACCAATAAAAATGATAAAGAATCCAATTCAAATAAAATAAATGATGCTTGTTAAATCCTTCTAGATATTTTTGTTTTATTACGTGGTCACTATCTACTGCATGTAACAGAACGGTGCTGGGTACTGAATTAAACAACCCTTACTACATCATCGCTAAGTTTTATTCCAACCTGATATTTTGGTGAGCATATGCCTTGATGGTCAATGAATAAAATAAACCAGCACTCCAGGACTTGTTACTCTCAAACGTTTGTATAGATGTCATCAGTAAAATAATTTAAATGATCTAACAGTTGCTTTGTGTTCAAAGATCTCTAGATAATAACGTAAATGCATATCCGTAAATTTCATTCAAAAATTACTGAATGTTTGACGCATTTAAAAGACGGAAAAACTCGTTTTTAGGTCTCAAAGTTAATTTTTTAAAAGTCTGAATTTATATGCAATAGTTTACCATAGAGACAGTCGGATTTTCAAGTGTTCAAGTTTAAGTCAGTCTTCAGTAGCAATGATACGGGGCAAATCGATCTAAGAAATCCTTGTGATTTGTAGTACTGTGGAGATCCAATCTCGCATTCAATGTATCAACAGAAGGTGCTGATATTATGTATCACGGTAGAGAATTTCATTAATTTACCACTTTGTACGACAGACGAAAATCCAGACTTAAACACTTTGATATCAGTTTTTGAACTTTCTTCGAATGCCCTTTCAGATGGTCAGTCCTAGATAGATGGGAGTGACGAGACACAGTTATAGTAAGGTCATACGATGAGCCAATATTAGATCACTCCGTAACCAGCGTTAAGATAAGCTGAAATAAGCAGGAATAGGCTGAGGTGTCTCAGTTTGTCTTCATAAGATAGGCCGAGAGACCTTATACCATTTTGGTCCCTCAGCATCAAACTCATTTCAGCATGTCCGCTCTGTACTTAAAACAAGTACTTGCTGCTTGAATTGACAGATTTTTTTTGCATCGAATGTGATAGAATTTTATCAATTTGCCTCTTTATATACGAAAACAAACTTCACAGTCATTTTCATAATCTAATCTAGCGTCACTTATCAGAGCTTTGCAAGTATGACTAGTCATGCAGTGAGTGGATTTATACTGTTCAGAGCCCGTAGAGCTAAAAATATGCCAATACGTTTTCCTACATCTAAGAAGTTTATTGACTCGCTTAGTTATCCATTGTAGACAGTTATTTGGTCTATGTGGTACTGAGCACGGTATAAAAGGGGATATATCCAAGCTAGTCGTACCTTTCAATATGGACAATGCTTCTTAAACTGACGAATAAAAAGTAGCCAATCACTCCTTTATGTCACAAGCTCTAAACATGAATGACAAAACAGCATGATCTCTGCTTGGTAACAATAGGAAAACATTTAGGTAGGCAATATCCTCAGTCACAGGGTAATTGTTAAGTCCCACGAAGAGAATTCTTGGTTTGATCCGAAACGTGTGCTTTTAAATACACGCTGTACTAAAACATGATCAACTACTGCAATCAGGCGGGTTTGAAGAAAATTCCACACATTTCTCGAAATGATTGAAGTTAAAGTAGACAAAGTATGTTTTTAATGTAATAAAGACACAAAAGTAATGTTAATTCACAACAAGTTTAATATCACTGTCCTCTTTTGAAATGCGCTGATAAGCTGAAAGGGATGTACCTCTCGACTACTCAAACTGTTATTGAATCACTTGTTTTGTCCCATTAATCTCAGGATGAACATAACAAGAATCAGACCTACAAGTAGTCAGGATTGCTTTAGTAAGGGTAATAGCTTAGGACTTCAAGACGACCTGAAGGAATTATCTGAGTGGTCTAAAACCTGGCAGTTGCCGATAAATACTTCCAAGTGTATTGTAATGCATATTGATCATCAAGGTACAAATACATACATGATGGATAACACTGAGCTATCTGTAGTCCAGACACATAATGACTTGTGAGTCATCGTTAGCCAAGACATAAAGACTACTGCACACTGCCGTGCAATAGCCGCCAAAGGTTTTAGAACCTTATGGTCAATACGTAGGGTCCTTGTTCATGTCGATGCTAAAACTTTCTTGACTTTGTATACAGTGTTCGTGCGTACTAAACTTGAGTACTTCATACAAGCGGCCAGCCCCTACTTAACAAAAGACAATGAGGTTTTGGAAGAGGTTTAAAGAACAGCAACTAAGCTGATTCCCGGAATAGCGAAGCTCCCGTATCATTTTCGATTGGCCGAGCTAAACCTATTCCCGTTGTCATATTGAAGAACTAGAAATAACTTGATTTCAGTTTTCAAATTACTAAGTGATAAATTTTCACTTGACATGCCGTAATTTTTCGTGTCTTCCAAAACAAAGGATTTACGAGGACTGTCCAAAACATGTTCACAAGCCCAGAACAAATTACTTGTCAGCTGACTATCCACTTTCCCATCGAATCATCAACGAGTAGAATTCATTAATTCAGCACTCGACTGAGGCTCCATCCGTCAGTACTTTCAAAAGAAAATCGTATCGAATGAGACACCATCATTGCCGGGACTAACAAAGGCCATCAAGCTTCCTATCCTTTCCAAACTGAAACTGTACCGCTCAGTATCAACGTTTGAGGTTTGAGGATTGAAGACTATTGGAGATTTCGAGGTCATAGATTGTGAGGGTTTTTCAATCTTGTGATGACAAGTAGTTCAAACAGACGGGATAACACTAAACTGCAAAATGAAAGACACCAGCTCATAATTCAGGAGTTACTTCGTGATGACGACAATAAGTACTGCGCAGATTGTGACGCGAAAGGTAAGTCATATATTATATCTTAGCAAGGTTAGGGCCACGTTGGGCTTCCTGGAATATTGGCATTTTTCTGTGCATAAGATGTGCAGGGATACATCGCAATCTGGGTGTTCATATATCCAAAGTTAAATCAGTTAACCTTGATACATGGACTCCTATGCAGTTGGCTGTAAGGGAAAGTTGAACAGTAATCATTCATTTTAGGTTATGAGGGAAATGGGTAATAGCAGAGCACGAGCTGTATATGAAGCAAATTTGCCCGATAATTTTAGAAGGCCACAGACAGATGCTGCGTTGGAGACGTTTATTCGAGCAAAGTATGAACAGAAACGGTACATAGCGCAAGAATATACCCCAAGTAAACCCGATGTAGAATCATTAATGAAAGTAGGTCTAAATTAACATACTACGTTTGTCAGTGTTGTTCTGTCTCATAAATCACCCTGATGTAAACTCATCATTGTTGTTTGCTTTTAAATGTTAAGCAACTCTTGTTTAGACCTGGTCGGTTTTTATTCATTTTTTCCGAAAAAAACTTTCTCGGTGGCTAAAGAATACCTGTTAGAGTTTTCCAACTTATATTGTTCAACAGTTCGTTCGCTCGACACAGTATTTTTGGTTCTACGGAAATCTTGAAATAGTTTGTTGCAGATATTAAATTCGATAAAATGTGATGTAAATGTAACAATCAAATTAATTACACCATATTACAGCAGACTTAGAAATTAGAACAGATGAAAAGAGTATAGCCAATAAAGTTAAGGAAAAAACAGGAGATGAAATAACTGGAATGGTAGTTTATGCATGTCACTACGCTAAAAGGAAACGAAATGATGAAAGCACCTGTCACTTCTACCCATTTTAGAGGATATCACTCCGTTCCAATAACTACTCAGCAGGTTACCTCAAATTAGGGTTAGGAGATCGCAGCCTCTCCACAAATTTCTCAAGTGAATAACCCTTCTGAGATCAATATAATCTATTTACTAGTATTTACCATTTGATTTCGAAAGTCATTCACTATACGCGTTAATAAATATGGGGTAAGTTGCTGTTCAGTGAACTTTCCATTTAGTTTACTTGTCTGGACCATAATTCTCCTGTATGTCAATGTCTTGAAGTAATTCATATAATTGGCTTTGGACGAATCTGTCAACAAATGCAAATAGTAATACCCGAGTAACATAATTGAGGTAGATGAGACGGAGTTACAATCTACGATCAGATGGCTAAGAGCGAATTGTTTTGGTTTCCTAAGTATCTCTAATAATAATCTTTTTGACTGCTAAAAATGTATGGCAAACACTGCATATGCTGGTTATCTGAAGGAAACAATTTCCTCATCCCTGTTAATTTGACAGCAGTAATCTGTCCTCGGACCTTAAGTTTGAGGCCTTCTAATCAACCTGCGTGGTACAATCTTAAGTAATGTGTTCCAGACAATAAGGTCCTAGGGGTACGTCATAAAATATAACCCCAAAGACCACGTCGGATCAGTTGCTGTGGTCTGCACTAGTATGGCAATCACCAATCGAAAGTTGATCCAAAAACTGTATTTTCGTCTCGGAATGTCTTTGTAGTGAGCCGATGTCATATTTACAAATATAATAACATTCTCTAAATTTGTCATATTGCATTTTTACCAACCCATCCTTGTCAAAATAATTTATGGCTCTGTAAATAATATGTAGAAGAATAGCGGGGCAGAGGAGCTTCCCTGATCCAAACACCTGTGTCATCATCTTGCTTCGTTTTGACCTTTTATGTATTGTGTCGAAATTGTCAGTCAGTCATAATTAGCGTAAGCCTTGGCATTAATGTGGGTCGGTCCAAGTTGTCATAACACATTAGTACGACGAGATGAAATCAGTATAATAGACTGGAAAACTACATCCAGTGCTAATAGAAAGATAATGTCTGTTCTTTCTAGTATTATGCAATATTAACTACATTATAATCAACCAGTCGTGGCTGCCTTGACCACATAGTCACCATTCGTCAGGTTCTAGAACATAGGCATACTTATCGGCGTCCGACAATGGTGGTCTTTCTTAACTTGAGAACAGCATTTGACCCCGTAGACCGCGAGATCCTGTGGCAGTGTCTATCATTGAGAGGCGTGCTTCAGAGGTACATGAACCTTGTGAAGGCTCTTTACTCGAACACTACCAGTCGGGTCAGAGCTTATGGCGAACTGTCATCTACTTTTGAAACTTCAAGTGGTGTCCATCAAGCCTGTCCACTTTCTCCATTTTTGTTTAACTTCGTCATAGACCTATTGATGAAAATAACATTCACGTCGACTAAGTTCTCGGGTATTGACCTCCTTCCAGGAGGTCCACTTAGTGACTTAGAATACGCAGATGACATAGTCCAGTTTGGTGAAGACGCTAATAAAATACAGAGTCTTTTAATAGCACTAAGCAACAATGCCAGAATGTTTGGAATGCGCTTCTTTCCCTCTAAATGCAAGTTGTTGCTTCAGGACTGGTCTGCGTCAACACCTGGACTAAGGATAGGGAGTGAAGTAGTCGAACGCGTTGACAACTTCACTTATCTTGGAAGTCTGATCAGCTCTAATGGGTTGGTGTCTGACGAAATCTCAGCACGGATTCGAAAAGCTCGTTTGGCTTTTGCCAACTTACGTCACCTATGGCGAAGGCGAGATATCCGTCTACCAATAAAAGGACGAGTATACTGCGCGGCAGTCCGTTTCGTTTTAATTTACGGCAGCGAAACATGGCCACTAAGAGTAGAAGACACTCGTAACCTACTAGTATTTGACCACAGATGCCTTAGAAATATTGCTGGCGTCTGCTGGGATCACCGGGTAAGTAATAGTGAGGTTAGACGCAAGGTATTAGGGAATGGTGGTAAATCAGTTGATAAGGTTGTGAATCTTCATCAACTGAGATGGTTGGGCCACGTGTTACGTATGCCTGAACACCAATTACCACGACGTGCAATGCTAACCGGTGTTCGGGATGGTTGGAAGAAAGTTAGGGGCGGCCAAACCAAAACGTGGCATCAGTGCTTGAAGTCACTAACTTCTAGTCTGAGCCATGCTGGTAGATGCAGACTACTTGGTTGGGGTCCGCGTGACTATCGTAACCAATGGTTGGAGACTCTTGGTGACATGGCTCAGAATCGATCACAATGGCGTCGGTGTATACACTCTTTGTCTCTCGTTAATCTATGAGATTAAATTCGCTTCATATCTTTCTTTCTACTTACTGAATCTTACTTCCTGTCCTGTATCCTTATATGCCATCTTTCTTTTATGTATTACCACCATTGAATTAACTACTATAAATTCAGTGTTCATCTTGTTATGCTAATGAGATATGGCAACTTGGACCGATGCATATATGTGCCTGGTCCTACATTGTAGCTGACTGACTGACTGATAATCAACTAACAGTTCCTATTGACTATGAATATTAACAGGTAGACTTGGTTTCAACTGGACTTAGATCACTAGTTTGATTTCGTTAACCCTTCTTGTGTAGACCATCAAAAAAATCAACTTGCCTTTCCCCCTTGTACTCAATGATTTATTTATTTTAACACATAGATACTGGTACAAGGAGGCACCAAATACAAATGCGCCGCACAAATCTCATTCGATATGTGTGAGGGCTGTGATACTGCCCGGGTGCCCAAACCAAAGCAGGTGGTTTTCTTAGGGGGCCACTCCCCGAGCCTTCGACCTGAAGGTCTGATCCACAAGGCAGTGGAGCATCGTAAGGAGATGCAGTCCCATGGAAGCCGGTGACCAACGATTGGTTCACACGCCATTTGTTCCCGCAGGATACTGGAGCCCATGTGCACCATTGGTTTGGAATCCGGTTAAAGCACCGGACATTCGCTTTTCGTCCTCTCATTTTCGTAAACAACACCCCCGCCACGAGAAGGCAGTGAGTAGGACTTCCCTGGCAGAGGCTATATACGCGTGGGCATGTGAGAGCATTTCGAGAAGGAGAGCGGACTCCTCCCCTTTCTCGGCCATACCAGGGCATTTGGGGGCCTACTCAATAAAATCTTACCACAAACGAAAAACCTTTATAAAGCATTTGTCAAATACCCATGTTTTTATGCTAACTACCGTTCATACCCATGTGTAGTAGTTTTATTGTAAAAGATTACTACGATGTTGATCGCACACTGAGTTGTCGAGATGCAATTGACCCTCATCAAGATACATAAGATTAGTGGAAATAGCGTAAGTAGGCGTCCATAATCAACATTCATTCGAATAGGCTCAAATGGTGTCACCATGATTCTATTTAGCGAATGTCTGGTGATGTATTATGTTTTTCAACGGAGTTTTTAGATGCTACCATAAAATCTCGATTAGAAGGTCAGAATAACGGATTTTCGGAATATATCTAGAATGAAATAGGTGGGCATTACACCACCTGTACCTTTACTTGAATTTCACTGATGTAGAGGACTTTTCAAAATATTTTGTCGATAAATATATTTTATATAGAGCTTATAAAGTTTTCTGCCTGTTATTATTATGAGCTTACATCAGTTACATTTTTGATTGTTCGGTTAGGAATTGCAACGTCTTGAATTGTCTCAAAAGAAAAAATCGCCTACTGTGAGCTTGGGTGCTCATTTACAACAGCCTACCAGCCGAACACATCGTCCATCTAAGGAGCTACCAGTAACAGTAAGCTGATTATTTTATTATGGTACTGCCGCTAAAGTAAGAGTCTTTTACTGAGTTGCTTTGTATGGTACACGTTTTTGGTCTCGTGTTGTACCAGATGTTCTGTGTTATGGATAAAATAAAATGTTTTGTTTAATTTTCGTAGCGTCTGACAAATATAACTACCCATTTTATAGGCTTATTCTGTTTTTCATTTACTCTAATTCTGTTGTAATTATTCTGTGTGTCAGTCCTTGAGTATACCAATTATTTTATCCTATTAACTCATATGTCTCGCTTCTTTAGTATGCTTACTGGCTTGCTCTCATTTTGCGTCATGGATTTTCTCTTTTCAAGTCATCTGAAACAGATAATGTTAACAGGACAAACAACGATTTTGACCTTCTGGGGCTTGACAGTGCTTCTAGTCCAGAAATAAAAATAATCTATTTGATCACGGTGGTTTTAGTCAAGCAACTTTTGGAAATCAACAAAAACAGTCAACTGTTGGACAACAACCAGTCAGCTCACTAGTAGATACGACCCAACATATACAAAAACCTAAAGTAAGTATTTCGTATAAATATGATTGTTTTATTAAGAAAAATCGAAATGCAGCTAGATAAATAATCACTGTTTGTACGCTATATCACACATGTTCACAATTTTTTATGCAGGATACTGCATCTAGCTTGACATCTGATCTTCTGGGTTTGGACTTTGGATGCACTAGCTTGGTCGGTGAAAAGGCTACAAATGCAGCTAATGATGGACAAGTGTCTTCAGGATCCACGTCAAGATAACCAAGATTCAATCTTGGCTTTGTATCAGCAAAACGCACCACAGTCAAGTAGTTTTAATTCCGCATTGTATCCCGGAACTATGGGACAGTTCTCAACTTCTAACTTTTCAGGAAATCAATACTTTGAATGTAATCCTCCACTTGATAATTCTACGCATAACAAAAATATAAACAATTCGGGTACGTTTTAATTATTGCACAAATCAGTATAAAAAAGCGATTTTAAAATCTAAAAGTTGATTCTGTTGAATAACGATTATTTTCACCAATCATATTCATTATTGTTCCTTGTTTAACATTATTTTCAGTGCTATTAGCTCATACAACATCTACTTATGAATTAATTCATCATTCTTTTAACTCATGTATTATAACTAAGCTCCTTTCATTATTGTTTGGTTTAGTTAGGTAAAATATTGATATATGGATGTTATCTCTATATTCTCACTAGGTATCATTTTCGTCTTTAGTGTCCTCCAGTAACATCATTGCATGATTCTAGATACATTATATATGAAGCTTAATGTGATCTGATTAAGCTTGTGATGTATTATGTCATTTTGAATATTCATTTGATTTTTAGCGTTATTATTTATTATTATTTGAACACATAAACATTGGTACAAGGGTGCTTCAAATACATATGCGCAACACAAAAACAATGAGGCCAGCAGCAGTTATCATTGATTCGTGTGAGGTCTGGGATACTGCCTGGGTGCCCAAACCGAAGCAAGCGGTTTTCTTAGGGAGTCACATCCCGAGCCTTTGACTTGAAGGTCTAATCCACAAGGCAGTGGAGCAACGTAAGGATTATTATTATTTATTATTTGAACACATGAATATTGGTACAAGAGAGCGCCAATATATATGCGCCACACAAAACAATGAGAATTCGAAGAGAAATAGAAAAAAAAACTAAGGAGCGCAAAAGAAAAAGAGAACAATAACGAAGAGATTGGTGTAAGGTAGTGTGGTAGTAACGAGGGAACGAAAGGTACAATCAGAAGAAATCTTTCAGGTAAGGAGACACAACCACTTTTTATGAAGAAAGTAAAAGAAGGTTACAGCAGGATCGCCACTGGCTTCTATTCTGAGCCATATCTGATAACGTCTCTAGCCACTGTGTAGCACCATCTCTCGAACCCCAACCAGGGAGTCGTGAAGGACCAACACAAGCCAGTCCTTTGCAGCTTTCTTTCATGCCACGACACCATGTCATGCACTGACCACCTCTCCGCTTCTTCCAACCAGTCCCAGAGTCGGCAAATAATGCACGACGTGGAATTCTCTGGGACGACATTCGGAGAACATGTCCAAGCCACCGAAGTCGGTGTTTCAAGATGGTGACACCAATTGAATTATCATCTCTGTGCCCGAACACACGATGCCGAACCTCTGCATTACTGACATGGTGTTGCCACTGAATGTCAGCAATCCTTCGGAGACAGCGATGATCGAACACAGAGAGTCGTCTAACGTCCTCAACTCGGAGAGGCCAGGTTTCACAAGCATAGAGCAAAACTGCTCTCACCGACGCGTTGTAGATCCGACCTTTTACAGCCAGACTAACATCACGAAGGCGCCAAAGGTGGCCCAGATTGGCATAAGCCGCTCTGGCTTTCACTATTCGTGCATTGATCTCATCACTCACACCCCCACCAGCACTTATGCAGCTACCCAGATACACGAACTTCTCGACTACGTCTATCTGCTCACCATCCAGGGTGAGTACAGGATTAGAATCCTGCCAGTCTTGTAGAAGTACTTTGCACTTCGAAGGTGCAAAGCACATACCATACCTACGGACACTGATTGCCAACTGATTAAGTGCGGATTGCATGCCTTGGGCATTATCGCACAGTAAGACAATATCGTCCGCATACTCAAGGTCGAGAAGTCTTTCTCCAGGCAACAGATCCACACCACCATTACTTACATTCATCAGAGCTGTTTCCAGAATGTCATCGATGGCAAAGTTGAAGAGGAATGGTGAGATTGGGCAACCCTGCCTAACCCCACTGCTCGAATGGAACAATGGAGAGAGGTGGTTGTATGCCCTCACTCTGCCTGAGGTGTTTTTATATAGGGCTTTTAGGATGTTAATAAACTTCTCAGGCACACCCTTCTTCAATAGACAATCCCAGAGAACAGTCCTGTCCAACGAATCGAAGGCAGCCCTGATGTCAAGAAACACTACGATTGTTGGCCTTTGATAAGTATGGCGGTGTTCTAACATTTGGCGGAGGGTGAAGATATGATCAATACATCCTCGACCAGAACGAAACCCAGCCTGCTCCTCGCGAGTCAATCTTTCTCGGGTTTTGAACAACCTACGAAGTATGACGGAAGCCAATAGCTTGGACGCAATCGGAAGTAGACTTATCCCCCGATAGTTGTTACAGGAACGACGTGAACCCTTTTTAAAGATAGGGACAACTATCGACTCATTCCATGACGTTGGTACACTCTCTAGTTCCCAAACCTTTGTAAACAACGTCGTCAATTCCTTAGTCAAAAAGTCACCACCATCTTTAAAAAGAGCCGGAGGTAAGTCATCTGGGCCAGGTGATTTGTAACGCTTCAAGAGTTGGAGTTCCTTGCGGACTTCCTCCTCGTTTGGTGGATCAGTCGTCACCGGCCATGGAGGGCAGGACAGTCTGACCGATGTTGCCGGAGCAGCAGGCCAGTTGAACTGCCCTTCGAAAAATTCTGCCCATCGTCCAAGACGTCGATGGATGTTAGTGATTGGCATCCCATCATCCTCGCAGATTGTTTCACTCACACCAGACTTCTTGCTGCCAGTGGCTCGGATGAGTTGGAAGAGCTTCCGGTAGTTACCAGATGCAGCTGCTGCTTCCAGCTCATTAGCACGCTTCGACCACCAGGCTTCTCGGTCCTTACGCAAGCTTTGCCCAATTTCCTTACGTAACATCCTTCGTTTATGGTCAAACTCACGGTCACCCGGAGTAGACCGACGGGCTTCAATGAGTTGTAAGGAACCAGAAGAAACCCAGTGCTTAAAAGCGGGACGTTTCGCAAACCCACAACTGACTGTTCCCGCCATTTTCATGGCGTCATGCAATTGCAACCAATGCTCATCTATACTTTTCGGTGGAGTGGTAGCTAGCCTAGAGGCTAGCTCGGTTCGATACTTACTTGCAACAGAAGTTGCAACCAGCTTGCTAACATCAATCCGTTGATGGCGGTCACTTCGTTGTCCACTGAAAAGTAAGGCAAGATTGGCGCAGACCAAGGCATGGTCAGAGTCCAGATAGGTACTCCAAAAGGAGCGGCAGTCTTGTACACAACCACGCCAGCGGTAGCTGATCGCGATGTGATCAATCTGAGTCCAGGCTTGAGATGCAGAGGGAGGACGCCAGGTGGCACATCGGCGATGACTGTGCCGAAAGTTAGTGCTAGCCAGAAACAGGTTGTGGTCTGTGCAAAGTTGCAGTAGACGGTCCCCGTTATCTGACCTGCGACCAACGAGTCCCCATCGGCCACCTAAACGACTCTCTTCTGTGCCTAGACGCCCGACCTGAGCATTCAAGTCTCCGGCTAGTACTACAATATCTGTCGAACGCACTTTCTGGAGAAGAACTGATAACTGGTGGTAAAACTCATCCTTGATTGCATCCGGGCTGCAATCTGTCGGGGCATAGGCGGAGATGACGAAAAGACATCGTTTCTCACGCCGATTTCTTCTCACTTTGATGGAACTTTCTAATCTAACAGCACATAACCGACTGTTAATGGGGATCCAATCGACTAGTGCTGCCTCAGCTCTAGCGCTTAGTGCGACACCAACGCCAGCAAGACCAGACGAAGATGCCACAGGGTCCCCGGATAAGCGCACGTAAAACAAGCTTTTCGAAGCGACAGATGGAGATCGAATTTGTAGTACTTCGCCAGAGTCTTGAATACGGGTCTCGGATAGACAACAAACATCAATATTAAGACTTTCCAAAGACATAGCCAGCCCTATCTGTTGTCCGACCTGCATAAATGTGCGAACGTTGAAGGCAGCCAGTTTGAATGGTGCACGTGGTTTCAGAAAAACTGCTTCAGTCCTCGTATTCGGTGGTAACATACAATTTTCAACCGGACAGTGACTCGAGAACGTTTAGATACAGTCGAATTTCCACCAAAGACGAGCCGCTGTATAAGTATAAAAGAGGGTGAATAATGTGGAAAATAATAATAATAATAATAATAATAGTATTAATAATGACAATAATTGTAATGATAATAATTTGAATCAATTGATTGTTTTTCGAAGCGAGAAAAGTAATTTCCATAGACATAAAGAGTTCATCATTTGTGAGGAGATGCAATCCCATAGTAGCCGGTGACCAACCATAGTTCCATAGGTATTTTGCTCCCTCAGGTTTTGGACTCAGGGTTTTCCAACTCTTCTAGGGGAATCCTCCATATCCACCGACCCGATTAAGGCGCCGGACGTTCGCTTTTCGTTCTCACAATTTCGTAAACAACATTCCAGTTTCACTCTTTTATATAGTTGGTATTTACTTTATCTTTGTTGTTGTTGTTTGTGCACCGATTTTCGTTTTATGGGTTTTTAAGTTATATTTATTTTAAATTTGTATAGTAGTTTAGTAATTGTAACTTCTCCTTTTGAATCAGGGTTAATCGTTTATCCGTCTCTTAGGTAGTTATCACTAATCACTACTGCATTTTGTTACTATGTTGAATTCCTATATGCGTATGTCTCCAAACGTGGCATCAGTGCTTGAAGTCACTAACTTCTAATCTGAACCATGTTTGTAGTTGAAGACTACTTGGTTGGTATCCTCACGACTATCGTAACCAGTGGTTGGTGACTCTGATTGACATGTCTGATAATCGATCATAATGGTGTTGGTGTATACACTCTTTGACTTCGTTAATCTATGTCAGTCAGTCAGTCAGCTACAATGTAGGACCAGGCACATATATGCATCGGTCCAAGTTGCCATATCTCATTAGCATAACAAGATGAACACTGAATTTATAGTAGTTAATTCAATGGTGGTAATACATAAAAGAAAGATGGCATATAAGGATACAGGACAGGAAGTAAGATTCAGTAAGTAGAAAGAAAGATATGAAGCGAATTTAATCTCATAGATTAACGAGAGACAAAGAGTGTATACACCGACGCCATTGTGATCGATTCTGAG